GAAAGCATACCTATGAATGTTTTGTATAGACCAAGAAGAAATTATGCAGGAGGGGACAAACCAGAGACCAGGTGTCTGTTGTGGCAGGTAACTGAACATTCATGCTTATAGTGTAGAATCTTTTTTCTCTTTTATAAAAGAAAGGGAGATTTTTTTTAATTTTTTTTTTTTAACCTGGGCTTAGTAGCCATTCATCTTGCATTACAACTAAGAATCCCATCTAAACAAGTTACAGAAAGAGTGAGCCTTTTCTAGGAAAAGTGAGGAATAAAGATGTCTTGAGTGTAGCTACATGAAACCTTTTTGTTCAAGGACAAAGTTGTGAGACATAATTTCAGATAAGAAAAAGCTGGAGAATGCAGAGAATGGCATTACCTGAACCCTCTGCATGTACCCCTCACCGAAGACCAAGCAGTCCTGGTTGAGTCAGTACATTGGGCACCTTTGTGGAAAACAACAGAGGTCGCTTGTGGAATGGGCAATATTATTATGCTAACCTTACAGAAGAAGGAACCAAATATTATGTATGCCAAGTGATGCGTGACTCTGCAGAAAGGTCAGTGGAAAAGCTAATAACTTATATATTATCACAGCACGTCAGTGGAAGCCATCAGTAGAGCTTAGTCTTCATAGTCCTATGCAAATCACCTGCTTTCTTGGYGCATCTCTTGTGCCAGCTGTAAATTTCCAGTGTTACATGGAAATCTGCCAAGGGGCTGCCTTCCCTAGACTAACACTGCCTTGTATGCCATTAGTTTATAAAGACGTATGAAGAAAACAGCCAGGTTAGGGCACAGCTTTGCTAATGTCCTTGGCTGGAACCTGTTTGTTATTTGTCTCATAGGCTGCCTTGGCAGGACCATGCTTTTGTATGTGTTGAACAAAGTAGTGCTTATAAGCAGTGATTTTTTAGTGAAGGAGGCAGCGAGAGATATGCAGCCGCATAATATATATGTATATATACATAATGACTGTGAAGTAACACCTAGAAGTAGTCTATCTGATCTTTTTCATATTATCTAGCCACTTTTTTGCAYGTTCAAGTTTTTGTTTTATTTTTCTATCTTTGATGGACTTACGGGCTGTGTTCATCTGACATCAATTAAAGTTATGTCCTTTTGAAGCTGTAAATTAGGTTTTTATTCACTATAGGTGGGCAGGGAAGGTAAGCTCCTTTAACTGAAGCAAGCATAACAACCTCAAGAGTGCATGAAATCAGTAACCTCTGTGTTATTTGATCCATAGACTTGAATTATAGGAAGTAAAGGTGCAGTACCAAAAGTCTGAGAGGAATACAGCAAACCCAAGCTGAAAGGTAGTAACCATGTAGGAAACCTGATAGTCTGATGCAGAAGCAGGCATGGCTTGTGAAAGCTCGGTTTGTCTTTCAGTCCCAGCACATCATTCTCCTGGAGGTCATGTACATTCATGGGATCAGGTGAGATACGTGGTAATGCAGAATTGCCTCTGCTAAATCATAGATCTCTTTATTCAAGAAAGGGAGGGGAGGTGTAGTTAGTTTTGTCATCATAATAGAAGCTTMAGAATAGTTCCTTCAAGATGGTATTTTTGAGAGGCTTGTTCGCATTTCTTCTTACTACTTAATGACAAAACAGCATTCTTCCTCTTTTCTGTGGTCTGAGACAGCTGATCCAGAAACTATAATGGTTAATCGTAACATGTTGGTGAGCAGTATGCATGCCGGCTCTGTATGTTGGGTATGCATGCTGCCTCAATTGTCAGATGATTTTTCTCAATTGAAAAAACAACTAAATCAAAAAAAAAAAAAAACCCACAATAAAAAAAATCAAGCAACATGTTACAGTAATGACCTTCTGAATGTTTTATTTTATCGTGAAACATCATTTGTTAAGGTTGAGTAACCTTCGCAGGGAGGAAGAAATTTGGTAATCTTCAGTTTACTAATTTTAAATACAGATCCAGCTTCTTTTCTACAACTTATAGATCTCTAGGTATGCTTACAGCCCACAGAGTAGCATCTATCAAGAGAAAAATGGGTGAAATTCATGGGCAATGTGTGGACTTCAGATTTTCAGGAATGATATGTAAGAATCTATATCTCTTTTTATTGTTTTTTTTTTGGGGCATTTTTTCCAATGCTTTTTCCACAACGAGTCAACACAATCTTACTATTAAGAAGCCACCCCTGTACTTTTGTGGTTCTAACTTCCTTTTTAAAAGCCATTACATTTGCTGCCATAATACGCTTTGGAGAAGTTTATTTGAAGATCCTGTTCCCTTTATTTGTTGTTCTTGAAAACCAGGGGCCCGCACCCTGAGCTCACACGGATATTAAGTTAGAGGCTACCTTTGTTTGCTTGAATGGAGCGAGCCTGTTTGTGCACTGCTGGCAGAGCACGGCCAGTTCACATGTTGTTATTGCTCAAGGGAAGCCACGCGGGGAGCTTCTTTTGCACAGATTTTCAGCTGAGATGCTTCCAGGAGCCCAGCTTGGTGGTGGAAAGTCTTCATCATAACCGCAGTTGTGCTGGGAGGCCAGGTAGGTCGGACACAGTGCAAAAGCAGCCCCCTGCCTCACTTTCCCTGTACCCACCTCTGTGTGCACAGCCTTCGGTGACACCGTCCCCTCGGGTGGGCAGAGTGCCCAGCATCCTGATCCTGACGTCTTAGCTACCTGTCACATCAAGAGGTGATGCAAAATAATGTCRTTTTGGTTAGGTAGCCTGCAAGTATGAAGCAGGAGATGGAAGAGGCGGCATTTACAGCACTGAGTCCCAGGGAGAAGCCCTGCTGAAAGCCCACATACGCTTCTGAGGCCAGCTCCTGGGATGTGGGAGGATTATTTACTGGTTTCTCCCCACAGTAAAAACTATGGGAGAAGAAAGAAGACACTATTTGGAGTAAAATTTATGCTGTGCCTGCATACAGTAGTAGCTTTGACCTGCTTACCTGTGATCTCTGTGCTTCACTGAGGACTTTGGCATTCATGCTGTATTGATAAAGCTTTATTTATTAATTCTGACTGTTAAACCTGCAAGGTCMTTTAGGAAGCTCAATATTGCCTGGAGGGAAGGAGGGTCTCCTTCCTTCCTTTCTCCATCCTTCCTCCTTCCTTTAGCATATTCTGGCCCAGACGGGCTCTTTCCCTTAAAAYAGGCATAGTCTGTTCACTAAAATGTCAGAAGATTAATCTGTCAATGAAATCAGTAGAGGTAGTCCCAGCATGTGTTTCAGTATGCAGAAGGAACTGCATACTGAAGGGAGGGTGGAGAGGATATGAGAGAAGTAACATCTCTGCCTTTTGGGGAGCCAAGATATTACATGGGCACATTTCACATAATGAAACGGTGCCAGTGCTGGCGCATTTCTTCTACTTTACTGAACCAGCTTTCATTAAAATCTGATTTCGTCTTGTGTTTCACATCCAGTTCCCTGCTGTTTTACAGAGAGTTCTTTTAGTTTTCCTTTGGTTTCACTGGGGATTTTCATGTATATTTATATACTCCATTATACATCAGTAAGTTGTATTGAATCCCGATGGTCTGTTCATATAGATGCTGTTTGAATGTTTGGACCTACCAAGTGACAGTTTTGGGGTTTTTTTTTGAGTTTGCAACTTCAGCCTGAAATACCCCATGGCTTATTGTCTTCATTGTTTTCTTGTCTTCAAAAAGCAAAGTCCTAACAGCTAAGTCTTTTTTTACTTTTCCTTCGGGTACAGCAGCATTGCCCCTCTTTCATGGGAAACTTTGGCCATCAGAGCTAGTCCTTTGCATGGGTAAACAGAGGTCACAGCTGACTTTTCAGATGAGTCCCAAAGGCTGTAGTGGGTGAGCTGTAGAAAAAAAGAAAAAGAAAAAAACCTAAAGCAGAATATTGAGGTGGTGAAGTGTGTTGAGCAAGAAGGGCTCTGTTATGAAGGGTGTGCTATTTTGTAGTTTCCACAGGGGATATTTGTGTTGCTCTGCCCTCAGGATGGGCATCTGTGCCCTCTTGCTCCTGACKCTGCAGATCTGTGTTGCTGACCGGGGGTAGCAGGTCAGGAGATGTTGGTTCCTCTTCCATCCGGGCTCCGAGTGTCTCCGTGCTAAAGGAAATGCCTTTGGACAACGCCAGCCAGCTGTTGGGCTGCTGYTGACCCTCCCTGCGCTGAACTTCCATTTTTTGCTCAGTTCACTTCATGGTCTTGCACAGGCCCACCCCTTTCCTGAGAAGTTCTCCATCAGTTTATACGAAATTTGCCTTCTGTACTAGTTAGTGCAATCTAATGACATATATGTCATTGGAAAGAGAGTGAGGTGAGTGCTTAGCTTTTGACTACTGTATTTTTATTGCAGTTTTTTTGGAGTATTTTTTATTATTATTTTATTTTGCAGTATTTTTATTGCAGTGTATTTATTTTGGCTGTGATACTTTTATTTATTGGGCTAGTTGGAGTCCTCTTTTGCCATGCAAAAATTTTCCTGGCCAAAATGAGTGATCATTGTGATATTGTATGCAATGGAAATATAGGTAGGGACATAAGGTGATACATACCTTATATAGAAAGAAATACAGGTAGAAATATCTACCTGTACTTCCCTTGTACTTCCCTTTTCCTTGTACAGCACTTCCCTAGTGCTGTTTTTTTTTTTTGTTTCCTGAAGAAATGGGAAAAAATGATTACAGAGATTCTTCATCTCTCCTCTGTGTTAGACAGATAGTTGCATTTTTGGGTTCAGCTTTTTGCCTGTCCAGGCACTAAGTGGAGTACAAAGAACTAGGCAAAAACCTAAACAGATTTGGGGGGGAGGTTTTGGGTTTGTTTTTGTTTTTGCCTTTTCTCCCTTCTGCTCATGATGCTCTCTACAATAAAAAAAAAAAATAAAATCATTTTCATCTGATAAATAGCATTCTGAGAGAACTTTTGTTTTCAAGTCATGATAGTCCTCCCTGAAGTGTCTGTTTCATATGTAAAAGTTTTTCTTCCTTCTTTATTCAAGAGCAGCAGCATTTTGGACGTAAGAGGAGAATGAGTTTCAAGCAAACTAAAGGTGAGATGAGATGCTGTAAGGGAGATGTCTCAAGTGTACTTTGATTAAAACAGAAACAAATGTCTTAAAAGGTCCTATTTAAGCTATATTTGCGGCAGCGGACAAAATGGTGACAGTTTCTGTTAGTTGAGGCTCTTGGGGACTATTGATATAGTTTTACTGAAAGTCAATATAGCAAATAGCAGAGCTTGCTTAGGTCAGAAAAGCACATAAATAAGTTTCAGGTTAACAGTATTTGAATCTGTTTTCTACATCTGTCATGCACAGTAGAAAAGTTAGTGAATTTCAGAAAACAAGACAAAATTCTGCTTTGAAAAAGAAGCTGAAAGGATCTGTGACTTGAATATTTGGTTTCTAATGGAGTGAGTTTTTTTTTTTTTTTCCTGAGGAAGGCTAATTCTCTGTTTTCTTTCCGCTCCTGCAGTATAGTAGTTGGAGCAAGGAATGGAAAAAATGAAATGCTGCTAGCAAGAGATGAGTAGGAAAGAATAGGGGTCGTTGGAAAGCTATATAAAGATGGAAAAAGTGATGCTAGAGCTTGGAAGATGAGAATGTCAGCTACATGTGACGTAAGGCGCTCTGGGATGTGCTGAAATATGAAGCACACATTTTAAGATGATGCTTTTTAAGAAGAGGGAATAATTTCCACAGTGGCATGCACAGACTGAGTTTAAATTAACAAAAAAAGACATAACTGACTCAGAGAGCATATGGAGTGCAACTTTCCTACAACATTACTTATCTGTCCTTGGCTTGCTAAGTGAAAGTTGGCTTTGAAAAAATAAACCAAAGGCCAGGAAAGTTACTAGCACTGTCTGTATGATTATACCATGCCCTGGTATATACCATTAGATACACTGGCACACACCGTTAGACCAGTTAGGTTTGGGAGCATTTTTGGTGTATCTGTCAGATGTTGAGCACACTTCATTGGCGATGATTTTCCACAGTGACTTACAGAATAGGAAGTGGCAGATAAAGTGAGCGTATGGTCTCTCTTCAGAATCTTTTCCATGGTGGCTGATCTTGTGGGTTATACTGCAGATAGGTGAAAGAAATTAAGGCAGTGGCCTTAGCATGGAATTTTTAAGCAGTATTGACATTTATTGCTTTTGTGTGATTCATTTAGTTTTCTTTGTACATAAGAACAGAAATATCCTCTAAAGTTGACCTAACCTTGACATACATAATGAACATGGGCATTATAATGGACATGGGCATAACGGCCATTCGGATCATCTGAACTGACTTTACTGAGCAATTCAGTATAGTCACCTATAGTACATATCTAGCAAAATAATAAGTATGGGTAAAATACACTCAGGACAAGAAAAGCCTGTCATGATGTTTAAATTATTTTTATTAATATAAAGTTAATGTGATAAATAAAAATGTAAAACAATAACTGGAGAAGAAATAAATGTATCCTAACCTACATCAGGTACATTTATGAGGATTCCTTTGTGGAGTGGAAAAAAATATATTTGTGAAAAAATCGTAAACACAATTTTAGCCCTCCATAAGTGACTGTCCTTCCTTGTAAGCTTTTTGAAAGCTATTTTGCTGTAGTCTGTCTGTGTAAATCCTATCCTGTGTGACCGGGTGAATTTTTTGTTGCTCTGGACAATGCTCAAAGGTACACTTTGAAAATTCTCCTGCAAGTTTATCATGGATGGCCATGTAAACAAATTGGATTTTGCAAATGGAAAGCCAGTTTTGCAGCCACGGAAGAGCTTAGGTGTTGACTGCATAGGCAGATCTCTTGTTGCTCTCAACAGCTTCTTTTTTTTTTGCTTTTTTACTAGGAACAAATGCCAGCATGACTAGGATCTGAGCAAGCATCTCCTTACTCCTACTGAGGCTTAGCAGCTGCAGAGGAAGGGTGCCACAGACAGCTGAGGTATTTTGAGATACCATGGATCTCCCCACTGATTTGGTGCCATCCTCCATGATGTCACAACCAGAGGTGATTGAGGTGAGTAGTTCAACACAAAACTCTGATAGCCAAGCTCATTGAAACACCTTTTTTTTTTTCCCCATTGATTCTTGTCTTTTCTCTTTCTTCATTTTTGAGTCATCAAGGGATTTTTTCCTAAAACACTGTATTAAGGGCATTTATCATTCACCAAGAATGTTGTTCCGCTTTGAGATATGACAATGCTGAGTTAAACAGTCATTTGTATATGAGCAAAAGGATATGTATGGCGAATCACYGTTTTTACTATTTCCATGTGGATGGTCCATGGAGTATGGTTTAATTGTACTGGGAACAATGTATGCAGAGTAAATGAAAGTTATGTTCAGCTGGAATATTATCACAAGAAATTTCAGTGTTCGTACCAAGAAAGCTAAGGTTTTAAGCCAAAGTGACAATAAAATTAATAACACACTTACAATTACTAACACACTAATTTTGCTTCATGAATCAAAATGTCTGTTTAAAACTTGGATGTGAGTACTTAAGTTATTTCTTCAGTTCCATGTACCGTACACCAAGTACTTGTGTTTTCTGATGCATCAAATATCATAAAAAGTTTGTTTATTTGGTTTTTGGTGAAGTTCCTTTAACTGAGGAGAGCTAGAGCTCTAATATGCAAAGTGCAGCATTTCACAGAAAATGGGGAAATCYTCAAGCTCTGATGCCGCACCCAGAATGGGTGGAAGTGGTGGGAAATGAGTTGATTGGGAAGTTAGTTCTCAGCTTCTTTGTACTTTTTTCCCTTTKTCTTTCCCCTTCAGTTTCAAATGGATAACTGGTATATTTTAAATCTATTATTGCAGCTTTTAGCTGTCTGTCTGAATTAGGGTCAGAGACATATTTTGTGTCCTTTTAACAAGCCAAAATCACCGACATGAAGCTGACTCTAAATGTACGAGTGCCCTGGTGCATGTGCCTGTTGCTGGACTCTTCTCCCCTTGTTGGAGTTAGGCTCCTCCAGGCCATTTCCTCACTGCTCCAAAATGCAGACCACTGCTCCAAAATGTAGACCTTGCACCGCTGTCTTCCTAGGTTCTCCGTTCAAAACCTCCTTCATATAGAAGAATTTGCATGATCTGTTTCAGGATTGCTGTGCGGTGTAAGCAGTCTGTTGAGGGGAAAAAAAAATCTGATGCAAATATGAGAGGGACAATTCCTCTGACTTAAAAAGCATCTGATTTTTAAAATGGTCTTCAAGTGGTCGTCTTTTTGTTCTATTTATGGGTAAATAAGTGCACACCTCCTCTGTTTGTAGGAGGCATTTGCTGAATTAAATACTGCTTGGGACTTGCAAAGTGGACTAGATATTAGAAACAGACAAATGATTCTAATTATAAATATAAACATGTATAAAACAACTAGTGTCAACTAATACAACTAGTTACTAGAACTAGTTACAACTAGTACAACAGTATAAAACAACTAGTTCTCAGAGCACACCTGGATTTTTAAAGACTGTACCTGGAAGAGACTTGACTTTGGAGGCAACAAGAAGAACAATAGGATAAAATGATGCAGGAGTTACATCCCAGTGTGAGACCAAGGTTGTGTTCTGTGTACACAAATGTTCTTTTACATTTGTGTACGTGTTAAAATGGCTTTTAAATATAATTTGAAGACAATCTTCCCTAAAATACATCTTTTTCTGCAGCACATTTTATCTTGGCCTTTAAAAAACAGATACTACGGTGTGCTGCAGAAGATATTTAGAGACCAATGTTTTAAGAAGGCCTTTTTTTAAAAACTTGGAAGTAGGCTTGCATGCCTTCTGGATGAGCTAGATGGCATCTCATTTACAAAAAAAAAAAAAAAAAGTACTTTGCTGCTTTTCTTTAAACTAGATTTTGCTAGGATAATTARTATCCTTCACATGCAATGAATTTAGCCTTAGAAATAAATGTTTTTATATATAAAAAATATATACATGTATATATATGTATATACGTATATACCATATGTGTATGTACACTATGGTAATAAATATTACTTTATCAGTACTTTAACTACATAGAGACAAACAAGCATAGACTCATTTATTCCTGGAGAGAATCCTGGATAACTCAGTAGTTTTGTTTTGTTTTTTCATTCAGAAGCCCCTTGGGCTTCTGGTATCCACAGTACAGAGGGATGTGGAGCTGCTGGAGAGAGTCCAGCGCWGGGCTACSAGGATGATCAGGGGCCTGGAACATCTGCCCTRTGAGCAAAGGCTGAGAGAGCTGGGTCTGTTCAGCCTGGAGAAGAGGAGGCTGAGGGGGRACCTGATCAGCGTGTATAAATACCTCAAGGGAGGCAGTGAGGAGGAGGGGGGCRGCCTCTTTTCAGTGGTGGGCAGGGATAGGACTAGAGGAAATGGCTTCAAACTGAAGCATCGGAAGTTCCACAGGAACTTAAGGAAGCATTTCTTCACTGTGAGGGTGACAAAGCACTGGAACAGGCTGCCCAGAGAGGTTGTGGAGTCTCCTTCTTTGGAGATCTTTAAAASSCGCTTGGATGCAGCCCTGTGCCAYGTGCTCTAGGTGACCCTGCGTGAGCAGGGGGGTTGGACTCGATGACCTCTGAGGTCCCTTCCAACCTTCGGCATTCTATGATTCTATGATTCTGATGGGTTTTTACCTAGTTTTGTATCCTGTAAATGCTGGTGGTGGCACCACAGTGAGAAAAGTTCCTGCTCATTTAGTTGTGAATGGTGCCTGTCTTCTGAATTGTTTTCTGAAATTAGTAAAAAGGAAAAAAAAAAAAAGGCGGAGAGAAAAAAAGACTTATATTTTGGAAATTCAGCAAAGTTTTTGAAAGTTGCTGTTGCCAGATCAACACAGGAACAGGTCTGGGCACTTTGCTATGGCCTACAAAAGTATCATGTTTTCCATAGCAAAGTCTTTTCATATCCTCTCCGCTTGCTGTCCTCTCTTGAAACGTTCTGCTCTAGCCTTTCTTCCCGCTCCAGTATCGTATTACAAGAGATAAGAAAYAGTGATTAGAAACATGGATTTAAGGAATCTTGGACACTTTTAAACATAAAGAATAAATAAATTCCAGGGTAGTGGTCAACTGTGTCTGAAAACTACTTTAGAAAATGATTCTAAGACACTGATATGAGCACATCAAAGGAGCAAATTAAAGGATATATTCCAGAATATACTTTTAATTTTGAAAAATGGAAATCTACTTTAAGGCTRAATCTGTCGATTTCAAGTTATATAAGCCCCTCTGATTCTAAAAAAATAAGGTAGTAATAAAATTTATTTGTTTTTTAAGTTGGTAGATGTAGTGACTGCCTACCACTCCTGTGTATATGGAGAAATTTATCATAAAAACCTGATTAGCTTGATAATACAGTGAGTGGAAAGTTAAAGAATTCTGTAGGAAGCATTTAGCATTTCCTGAGGGACTTACTGTTTGCAAGGAGGAAACAGAACAAGTTACGTTCAAAAGTAATTTGTGATTGTTATCTTCTGCCTTACTTTGTGATGGCACAAGATGAATTCTGCTGTAAAAGCTTTGAAGAAATGTTTTGAACCCTTCTTGCTTAATGAACTAGAGCTTCCAAGGGTGCTTCATAAATACATTAAAAAAGAAAACAACAAAAAATCCATCTATTTCTCTCTCTTTGCCTTTGCCAGCAATAGGTTTAACCAGATAGAAGTAAATCAGTACTTTTAAATAACTGCTTTGCAGCTGTTACAAACAAAAATCCAGAGCAGCTTTCATTATAGCAGCCTTTAATGCCTGTCTGGCTAGCAGAGTCCAAAAACACTTCTTCCATTATTTGCAAATGAATGCACCTTTATTTTCTTGTCTTTTTGTTTAAATTAGAGTGGAAGACGTTTAAGCTATCCTTGCAGCGCTTAATGGAGGCTCCAGAGAAAGGCTGGGAGAAGGAAATGCAAACTTGTATTACCACGTGCCAGTGCATTGCCCTTACAAGCTCTGCTTCACCTCCCCTCTTTTCCCAGAGGGACTAGGCTTAAATCGTTCTCTCCCTAAAGTAAAGGAGCATGAAAAACTGATGGATTTTGCCTTTCCAGAGTGCTATCTATTGAAGGATCAAGAGTACTCATGGGTTGCTGGAAAGAAGCAGTTATGAAAATGTTATTTAGGTTATGCTGTAAGCTGAATGAAATATTTTGCCAGGAAATTGAACATGGAYATATAGACAGGAAATTAAGTGGCCRGTGTCAAAATGGGTAAATAGTCTCTCCAGTGTTCTAGTTCATATAGCTAAATATAGTTGTGACTTAAATTAGGTAAACTGCGTCTCCTTACAGTGTTTTCCTGCCTTGCAGGTCATATCCCAGAGACTCTGCAGAACAGTTATTCTTGATAGCTTTTTGCTTTTTAGAGCGATCCTTGAGAACAGTCTCCTGTGGAGTGGAACTGATGTTGTTCCCCAAAACTATGTTTTGTTGGGGAAATGTGCACAGTTCACGTTCTGGATTTGGCGCCCATATCTGTGGAGCCAGTAGAGTACACTGTTTTTTTTTCGTCCCTCCCAGATGAGCAAAGATACTAACATCTACACTGCTATAGAGCTCTCGTGGTGATAGCAAATTACATGAAAGAAGAAAAGGAATTTATCAGGAAGAAASAAACTGTGATTAAATGTACATCAGGAAATTATCAGGAAGAAACAAACTGTGATTAAATGTACATCTACCATATGCATGTCATTGTGTATGAGAAGTTTTAGTTTTTATGATAGTAGATGATCATTAGGTGCTCTTAATACATCTCTGTTTTGTTCAAAGCAGACTGACATTGACTTAAAGGCTGATGTTGATAAAGCAAGAACAGCTTACTGATACAGAACCAKATATTGCCAAAGCCCTGGCCAGGACAAAGAGATTTTTGTGTGTTCTGTTATGTATTTCACCAAAGGGTCCATGAAAGCAAAACTAGCCAAAATTTTGTTTTGGAATTTATTTTGCCACTGTGCATTTGCAGTGATAAACACTGGAGAGAGAGAGTCACCTTATTTCTATCTGGAAATCTTATTTTCC